TAAATTGATTTTAAATAGAAAAACTGTAAAAAAAAAAAAAACAAAAACAAAAACAACAAGTAAAGATAATGAAGAAAAATTAAAGTTAAAATACAATAGAAAATTTTACAGCTTTATATAAATTAAGTGCCAAATAATCAGCCAAATGAATGGAAAAATTGGGTGACCGGTAGTGATTGGTGATGCACTTAAGTGTCACGGGATTCCAACCGACACACATACCATTCACCCCAAACGGTGTCGGTTTACCAACTCTTCCTATTTTACATCTATATTTTGTCTTATCAAATCAGAATACATTAAAAAAAAAAAAATAAAAATAAAGCATAAAATATCACAATTATAAAACAATATTTTAAAGCATTTCTCATAAGAACCGATTATTAAATAGTTATTTAGCCAACAGTAATGTCAAGAATAAATAAAAAGTAGAAAAAAAAACAGAAAATTTAGTGATTGATGATCAATCAACAGTCAACTGGTACAATTATACTGCTGAAGAATACTTAACTTTGTCAAAAAATAACGACAACTAATGTTTTTTATTTTTTTTTATTTTTTTTTTTTTTATTTTTCATGAACAAAAAAATCAGAAAAAAAGAGAAAACAAGAAATTGGCGTTATAGACGTTAAACAACACTGAAAATAACGACAATATTACTACCGAAAAAGCTAAAACAGGCAGCAATTATTGATATGTGCCAGTACTACTTTGTTTTAAACGTTTTATCAGCAATTAGACGGAAGAAATATAAACTTGAAATGACCAACTTATGCTGATACTTAGCTGTCTTCAGAAGGGCAGACTCAACAAACAGTTTAAGACATTACTATTCAGTGATAAAAAAGTAACTTTATCATTATTGACATTTGATTAAATTACCAGAGTTACAACAAAAGCAAACAAAATTAGAGGCAAGGAAAAGTTATAGAATTGTAATACAGACAATAGTAAACTGGAATAACCGATGATTTGGTGTAACTTTTTAACTAGTATTTGATAGTGTTTGGTAGTGGTAGAATGGCAACGAAATTAGTCCCCGTAAAAGTTTTGAATTATTATTTTAACTGAATAATTCTGTTGTTTTTGTATAAATTTTTGTTGCTTTTCAGGTGGAACGTGAAATAGCGATTATGAAATTGATTGAACATCCACATGTGCTGCATTTGTATGATGTTTATGAGAATAAAAAATACTTGTAAGTGGCTATTTCTCTCAAAAATTTAACTCAAATCTTTATTTATGAACTGATGTTAATCATCTTTCTCACTGCTACAAAGTACTTTATAGATACAAGTCAGTTGTATTGTTACTACTGAAACTTTATTCAACAGGTATCTGCTACTGGAACATGTTAGTGGCGGTGAACTTTTCGACTATTTGGTTCGTAAGGGTCGTCTGATGGCTAAAGAAGCCCGAAAATTTTTCCGACAAATCATTTCTGCACTTGACTTTTGCCATGCCCATAATATTTGGTTATTTAGTTTTTTTTTTTTTGCTTTTAATATACCCTAAATTACATAAATGTTTGTAATCAGTTTTTTCTTTTAAATTCTTCCTTCCTATTTTTTTTTTGTCATTTTTATTTTAGAAATTTAAATAACAAAATCAAATTTTACAAAGCTGGGAGAAAGAAAAGATGTTAAATAAGAGTAAGAACATACAAATTTTGTTGTTTATTTCAGTCATCGTGATTTGAAACCAGAAAATCTTCTTTTGGATGAACGAAACAACATTAAGGTAAAATGATAGGCATAAACGTTTTACTTGGTTTTTGCAAAAATTTATTGTTACTGTAATAATCGTTTTGAAAAGATTTTTTTCATTCAATACAATTACTGTAACTGAAATAATGGCTAACAGTAAATGATTTAAATATAATAATAATCATCAATAAACATACTAAAAATTTTTTTATAAGAATATAAGAGGCAGAATTAAAACAAAAAAAAAAAGCAAGTACTGAGCTAACTTACTGTTAACGCTTGTTTGAAATAAAGTTTTATTGAATTCGGTGAAAATTAGATAAAAAGAAGAAAAATTAACTGTTAGAAATAGTTGAAACGGATAAGTATACTACAAATTGACAGTTCTTAGATAGTAAAGGAATAAAAATATTGAAAAATTGAAAGGGGAAGAAACTAAATGCATTTGAAAGCAGAATACAATTTCAGGTGGCAGATTTTGGTATGGCATCATTACAGGTGGAAGGTTCAATGCTCGAAACTAGTTGCGGGTCACCACATTATGCTTGTCCAGAAGTTATACGGGTAACGTTAATCAGTTTAATTTTTTTAAAGTCTTCACAACAGTCTGTTTAACCAGTCTTAAATGTTAAATAAACAATAAAAGCAACAACGAAAAAGGTAAATAAGCATTCTGTAATCAGAGCAGTGGGAAAGTACTTTTTAGATAGAATGACTGTTAACTTTCTGCCGCGTTTCCAGTTTTTTCTTTTTCACATCAATTACTGTTATTTTTAAAGATTCAAGCCAAAAAAATTTACTGACGATAAGAAAAAAGTAACTGTTGTAATTAATAATTAGTCATTGTTTACTTAAATGCTTAACTGCTGATAAATTGTTGAAATACCAAAACAAATTTTTTTTTTTTTTTATAACCATAAATTACATACACCATTTGAAGAAACACACAGACAAGCAACTTTTCAAACATTTTGTAAACGTAATGTTAATTTTTAAACATTTTTTTTTTTGAATGTGGATGAAAATCGAAAAACAAATTATTAACAAAAATTTAGTGATTTTATCAACCAAATTTTTAGAACTGATTCATCATTATAAGCAGTAAGCACAAAATTGGGATCACTTTTATGTTTTGGGTAAAATGTAGCATCAAAAAAAGTTACTGCAATGTCGTCAGTCAGACCAAAAATCTTTGTCATATAAGCAACTGACACCCCTATAAATTTTAATGCCATTATCGAACAGCTTCTGTTCGTCTATTCTGTTTTGGTGTTGTATTAAGATCTAGAATAAACCTTTGTCATGTCTTATGATCGAGCACTGCTGCCATCCTAATGTTGTCATTTTATCAAATGTTTTCTTTTTTTGGTCAGACATCTTAATTATTGCGCGCAATTTTTCGTTTCTACAAAAAAATTTTACTTTTCTGAAATTTTTATGATGATTGACAAAAATTACAAAGAAAGAAAAGTAGTGCTAAAAGTAAAAGATATCAATAGTTTTGAGCAAAACTGTCGTCTTGCAAGAAGAAGTTCTCTGATTTTTTACTTCAATTGTATACGGATGACATATTTATAGGGTGAAAAGTACGATGGACGTAAAGCTGATGTATGGTCTTGTGGCGTTATATTATACGCTCTCCTTGTGGTATCTTTTTTTTTCAGTCTTTTGTTGTTCCTGTTTATATAAAGTTTAAGAATTGTTTTTAAACTTTGTCAGTAGATTAGACAATTAATACAAAATGATCAGTGTTATACAGCTAAAGTCTTTTCCTTTCTTTGTTCCTTAATTTATCAAAAAAAAACCTATTATTTGTACAGTAATTTTTATTGCTTGATCAAATCTGACATTGTTTCAATTATTCGCGACATTCTAGGAATTGATTCTACAATACGTTGCTACGTTCGTTAGTTTATACAAGAAACTATATGATTAGAAATCTATTGAAAATCAATTTTTTTTTGTCTGTTACTTCCTCAGCGACTTATTTCTTTACTTAAACGGTTACAGTTACTCAAAACTGTAATAGAACATCAACAATTTAGGGTGCCCTTCCTTTTGATGATGATAATCTGAGAAATCTCTTAGAAAAAGTCAAGAAAGGTGTTTTTCACATCCCGCAATTTGTTCCTGCCGAATGTCAAACACTTCTTCGCGGTATGATAGAAGTGGATCCACAAAAACGATATTCTGTATGTCTTTAGATTATTAGCTTTGTAATTTTTTTACACCACCACTTAAACATTTTTTATGCTTCGTTATCTATGACTTACTGTAAACTGAGTAAACAGTTAATAAACAGAAGGTTTGAAAAAAAATTCTTGTAACAAAAGAAGTTTTTTTATTGCAGCTGGCAGACGTGTTCCGGCATCCATGGGTAGCTGGAAATGCTCGTGGAGAACCGCAACTTGAACTTCCAATGGCTCAAGTCGTAGAGGTTGATTAATGCTTAAATTTTGGCACTAATTTTTGATATTGATTGTTGCTTTATGTTCATCAGCTATCAAATACTATAGAATTTATTTTTCAGACACATATAATTCCCAATGAAGAAAGCATCGACCCTGATGTATTTCGTCACATGAACAGTCTGGGATGCTTTAAAGACAAGGAAAAGCTGGTTGCCGAGTTGTTATCACCAAAGTAAGTCACTGAGGATTTTAGACATACTGTTGCTCTTCAAAAAGTGTTTTAGCGTCTTTTTGTTGTTAAACATGAGAAGCAAGATTTTGATAAGAACAGTTTAGGCACAACACTGAAAAAATGGTTTATTTCCTTTTATTGGACAGAAAAAGACGGAAGCCGGCACGAGAAGATGAAGCTGAGGCAAGCAAAATTTGCGGCAATTAATTTGTAGTAAACTCATTTTCTTTCTGAAACAAAGACGCTAATTAGCTTCCTTCTACATTTAAGTATAAACCACAGAGAAGAAAAAAAAATTTCATGAATGGGAAATGCTTCATTGCAAGTGACAAAAAAGCTTTTGAAATAAGCAGTCTTTGTGATGTCAAACTATAACGGTACAAAACTGTTTATTTAACCATTCCAGTCAATCGCAGTTTAATGACTCACACATTTTTTAGATTGTTACGAGGCACTGTAATCAAATTCTCGATCCTCCTCGAAAGAGAACTGATTCTGTGCGACCGTCACGATATCCTGTCGGATCAATTAGCGAAGGATCACCAATTAATCCTCGTAAAACTTACGGGTATGCATAATCGAGTTTTGAAATATGAGAACTCTAACTTTTTGACATTTGATGACATTCAGATTATTATCTTAGTTATAATATAAGACACTAATTTTAAGCAGGTACAGAGGACGTCATAACTCTCTGGGATGTTCTCCAGATCGATCACCTTGTTCATCTTATGATTCAATAGAACCCTTAAGCGCAAGGGTGCCAGATGTTGCATCTTACACGAATTCTAATCAGTCAACTTCACCAACAGTAAGAACTGTTGAAAATCGAGGAAGGTAAGCAAGTTTTAGCAGTTTAATATCTTTTAATCAAAATTCAACACTAGTTATCGAATTTTGTAGAAGCAACGTTAGGGAAAATCGGTATCATTATCGTACGCAGCCAATTAATTCGCAAGCTCTCTCAGCGGCTGCTAGGCGAGTACAGGCTGCAAAGGAAAGAAGCGCTCAAGTAAGTTTGTTGGTACTGCGCATAAAGGAAGCGGTTTTTATTGTTTGATGACCGATTTACTCTACTTCATTGGTACTAGCATTTTTAGCCTTAGTTATCCGATCATTGTAGTTGGCTATAAGATTTTGTTTTCTGATTTCGCGGTTATTTTGTTATATAAATACAGCTCCGAGAAGAAAATGTAGATAGCATAAATGTTTTCTGAGAGGTAAAAACTTTAGGCAGTTATAGGACAGCGCAAGAACTTTAAATTCACTAGACGTAAGCTTTGCAATATAACTGTTTTTTCTGTCAGGCAGCTCAAGAATCCTCTGTTCCAAATCCCAAACAAGTTACAGAAATGGCATCACCTGCAACTGTTGAGAGTGCAACGAACGCTACAGCTACGTGTAATTTAGCTACAGGTATATTTACCGCTGGCTACAGTCATGCTTTGAAACACGTGGCTGAATTCGGATTTTATTCTTACTGGCAAATTCAGTTTTGAATGAAGCAGCAACTGCGCAGATTAAAAACGTTTATTTACAGGTATAACTAACACAAATAATTATTCAACCCCGTGGCGGTCAAAACTGACAAACATCAAAAACTCCTTTCTTGGCACTCCAAGGTTTCACAGAAGAAAAATGTCTACGAGAGGAAACGAAAGCGATTCTGAAGATGCGCAAACACTGGATACTTCAGAGTTTGTTACTTTCATTGCCAAACCCTAGTGTTTTCTGCCACAGAAAAATCCTGAAAATAAGTTGCTGAAGCTTTTAGTTACTAAGTGGAATTAAAGAAAAAAGTGCTCTTTTTTTGTTACTGATTAAAAGTCTATCCTGCTTTAGTTAACTTACTGCCGTTCTTTTTGCAACTTCTAACATCAAATTTATTGTCACTTTTTGTTAATTTTAGTGTTAAAATACTTTTGACGTTCTCCAAAGGCATCACCCAAAAAAATTTCAGTTTGGTTAAGAAATCTTGGTTTGGTTCGCTAACAAGTAACATCAGTACGGATCGTGATGATACACACTGTATTCCAGTTCACGGAAGATCGCTGAATGTGATTAAAGCGGAATTAATTAGGGCTTTCTTGACGGTGAATTAATTTAGGTTTCAAAAATAGTTCTCCTTTTTGTTTAATGAGTTTCTTAAATGAAATAAGCGGAGAACGGTGTTAAATATATAATATTAATGTATATTTTTATGGAAATTATAGATACATGAACTGAGTCATTCAGTGGTTAGTCAAAATTCATTTAAAATTGAATATAAACGTGGCCCAACTGTCGGAGGCAACGTGTTTTCCAGAGGAGTTAAAATGCAGGTAGACTATTAACTGTTAAACATTTCTACACTCATTAAGATAGTAGATTAGAGATTTTCAGGTAACGTAATTATTTTTCAGGTTGATATCATCGAATCCCCACATGTTGGAAGATCTGTTGACGGAGAACCAGTTTATGTGGTGCAATTCACTTTAATTGCGGGCCCAGTGAGGCGTTTCAGACGGCTTGTCGACCACTTGTCGGCTATTCTTCAGAATTCGTACCAAAGGTTGAAAAATTTCCCTTTTTCAACTGATAGTTGACGTAGCAATTCTGTGGTTTAAATTTGACACATATTTAAGAGCGGATAGGCTACAAACAGATACGATAATGGTACATCCTCGCAGACTATCCGATTCCAGTGTTAGCAGTGCATGTTCCGACACAGATTCTAATGCGGGTAGCTCAGTACTGCCACATGTTAAGAGTAACACAGTTAGTCTTATCTTCTATTGCTTTTTGAGTAACCTTGAACGCTTTAGCAAATTAATGTTTTTTCCTGTTCTAAACATTTGACTTTTATAATGAAGTTTCATAATTAATTGACTTATTTTTAAGGAACGTGTTGAGGAACCGGAAAGAATCACAAAGCATAATAGCGGCGAAATGAGACATTCATTACAAGGAAGCGGGTTGTTTCGGAATGCTTCGAAGGGGAACCTGTTAACCGGTAGGCTTTTCTTCGAAAAAAAAAAAGCACCAGTATCACCGACAATTTTTAAACAGGCTTCATTTTAATGTTGGCGACAGTATATCAGAAGCAGAAATAAAAATCACTCAGGAATTGTGGTTTTTCGTTTAGGGTTTTTCAAAATGTCACAACAGCGTCGAAATACCACTGGAATTGTATTTGATCATGTAGCCGCAGCTCGTGCTGTTCCAAATCAAACCATTGCCGGACCAAATAATGGTCACAGTTATTCGTCTCAAAGTGTTAAAATAAATGTATTAAGAAATGATTCCACTTAATGGTCGAAAAATTTGTAATCTTTTAATATTGAATTTTGTTTATTAGTTTATTTTTGTTATATATAACATGTTAATTTTCGGAGAACTTTTATCCAATATTTTTTTCTGGCACTATAGAAGTTTTGCCGGCTACATCGCTGCGTCAGCATAAGAAAGCAAAAATAAATGTAATTTTTATAATAAGCATCAACTTATTTGAACGCAGCTGAAATGGTAATGACAGTGAGATAAACAAATTTTTGATTTCAAATTTAGTCTTAGTTGTCAGAAAAGAATGCTGTTTAATTTATTTTACTTCTTCCTTTTTTGTACATGTAAATTGTTAGGAGTGTTTATCAAATTTGCTTTAATTTTGAAAGACTGTGAAAAAAATAGTTGTTTTATGTATAATAGTTTGATGAAAACAACAGTCATTTTTTGAAAAAATTTTATATAATGTATCGTTCTTCAACACTTATTGTTTGGTCTACTAAAAAAGCTGTAGAATTTATGAGTATATATTATTTTCGTTTATCTATCTGACGTTACTTACATATATATAAACCTAAAAAATTTTTTCTTTTTATTTGTTTTTTTTTTCTTCTTCTTTTGAAGATAATGAACGTGTTTGGTAAAGAGTTATTTGTTGCTGGAGTGTATGCGCTGTTTTTTCCTTCTAGATTTTTTACGGGATTTTTTAAATTCATTTTTATTATTTAATTTCTGTTACTGGTTATCGTAATAAAAAATAACTGAGTGTAGATTAATGTAGTAGGAGAAAGAAGAAAATAAGAAGCTGGAAAATGATGAAAGGAAAGGTCGGGAGGAGGTTTTTTTAAAGAAGCGTTAAAAGCTTGTCAAAGATACATTCTGCTTTTTATATTTTCTTGTCATCTTTTAAAAAAAACCCTTTTTGTACAAAATTTTAATGCTGTAAGGTGTAAAAGATGATGGCCAAAATTTATAAAGCAAATTTTATATATTTTTTTGAACGTTGAGTTTTTATTTTCGACGTTTGCTTACATAGGAAATTGAGGCTTAATTACGTATAAAAAATCTCCCAATTCTGGTGTCAGCAACAGTTGATTTGTTTGGTTATGGATGGAATACTCTTTTAACCAATACAAGTTTCATCGGCAGCACCATCATCAGATCCGTCGCTGCTGGCTGATGTTTTTCTAGATGACGACGATAACAGCAATTGTTGGTTTGGGTGTTGATCAAATATAAAAGTTACCAATCCTTTCTTCTGTAATTTTTGACGTCTTCATAAAGTGTTTAAAGGAATGATCTCATCGCCACTTCCCTTTCATCTGTAATCAACTCCATCATTGCTCTACTGTACTTTATTTTGGTTGTGTAAAGTTTGAATGATAATGCCACCGTTGTTAAAATAATCTTTTGCAATCAGTTTTTCAAAAGCCTTCGTCAATTTTTTGCTTTTATTTTTGTTCTCAGAAACTAACTAAACTTCTGAGAACAGAAATCAAAAAAAAACAAAAAAACAAAAAAAAAAAAAAAAAAAAA